CCACCACAGAGGTTCTGCATCCTTCACCATGGCCTTGAGCAATCCTGTGTGTACACCCCTAGTATCACATTGCCACAGCCTTGTGCAATCTTGTATGCAGGCCCAAACATCACATTACCATGGCCTTGAGCAGTCTAATACAGGCTTCTGGGCATCAAGTCCTGGCCAATTGCTCCTGAAAGACTGGCATGAAAACAGTGAACTGATTGGAACTCAGAGGTATGAGCAGGAATGGGTGCCCAATAAGAAGGGTTAGCACATACATCAAGAGTTTGTACAGACTGGGGCTGGGAAGATGGCTCAGTGGTAGAGTGCTTGCCTTGCATGCCTGAGACCCTGGGTTCGATTCCCCAGCACCACATAAGAAAAAAAAGCCGGAAGTGGCGCTATAGCGCAAGTGGTAGAGCGCTAGCCTTGAGCTGAAGAGCTGAGGGACAGCACCCAGACCCAGAGTTCAGGCCCCATGACCGGAACCAAAAAAAAAAGAAAAAGAAAAAAAAAGAGTTTGTACAGACTGAGTGGAGTCTCTGGACAGGTCTAGGGACTGATGTGACCCAAAGGTTGTTCAATGATCTTGAGAGACACATAGCTCTCTCCTAGAGGCATTTTATTAGCCACTGCACATTTTATTAACCCCTGCACCACCCCAGGTAATGCCTTTCCTTGGGATCCATTCTGTCTAGCAAGAGCTCTGCTTATCTCTTTCTTCAATAAATCTTTGCCATTTTGCTTCTCTCTGTGTGTCTGTGGGACTCATTTTTGAAGACTGTAGAACAAAGGACCTGATCCAGGGGTTGCAGTTTTTCAGGACCACAATTCCCTGATACTGAAAGACCCCCTCCTCAAACCACCAGGCCTCTAGCCCCTTTGCCAGGGAGCCGAGTTTCATGTCTAACCAAGCAATTTCTGGCTTCTGTAACATGCTTTGCTAAAAATTACATTACCCCGTACTTTCCTGGTAATTAAGCAGTAACCTCACAAGTTAATTGATAAGCTCACATCCTGCTGGCCGACTCTAAAGCTGGCCTCCCCTGACCGAAACCATCCACAGGTGCTATCTCGGGTAAAGGTCATCTCCTCATACCAAGGGCCGGAGACATACAACTCGGCACGTACACCGGGG